GTCGATGACCGTAAGAGCGAGCCGCGCCACGTAGCTGACCACAAGCTGCAGCGACAAGACCAGGAACGGCAGTAACTCGGAGCGGAGGTTAAAGACGTCGTCGGTCAAGTCGGCCATCATGTTGATGTCGGTCCAATTCAAGAATGGTCCTTTGAAAGGGTGCGACGAAGTTATGATGGGCAACATCGGTACTGGAATCATTGGGTCGACAACACATCCTCGTGATCGGACGGCCACAGCTCTACAACCCGATTTCGCGCAGCAGGATAACCAACCTGCCAAAACCGAGTTCTGAGTCCTGCGTCCCAGGTACAATGTACACTCACCGATACACTGGGCCGACTGCGTCACATGACTGTACACGTATCGTATGAGTGCTCTCGGACGCAAATGAACGAAAATGGTATTTTCAAAAATCTCGGAATTGGCGACACGTAAGAATGGAAGCCCCGACGACCCCTCGCAAGCAAGCCCTCGCAAAAAACCCTCGCTGCGATTTGCAAGAGTGGGAGCGCTGACCACATTTTTCCTGCAGCACCATCTCCTGGGACAAGAGCGGCACATGTCTCGCCATCAACTTCCATTCTAGTAGCCTGTACGGGCATGCGTCGCCAGCAGCAGTCGCGCCCGTAGTGTGTGGTCATCCCGCTGGCTTAAACCATAGCTCTGACATGGGTCCCTCGATAGCACCTCTCGCTTTGGTATTGTCCTCTTCCTGTTGCCCAAGTCAACGGACTCGTTCTGAACACGGCTGCCATAGATCTCTAGTCCATTGGGAGAGAGCTCTAGTTGTAGCTCGAAAGTAATACCTTGAAGCAGAATTAGGTGCCAACCGAGAGGGATTAGGGTTACCTCGTCCTCTGGAATCCGAGCTAAGGTATGGAAAGCACGCGTGCGCAGTCTCTTCTTCAACGTCGTGTGTGCGACCAATGAGTGCACGCGTCGTCTCGTTGGTTAAATACGTCATGGGATGGTAGATTATTCGATGCAGACAAAAGGAAGCTAAAGCAGGGTCACGTGACCGACGTCCGGCGCCTTGCTGTGGACCGGCGACGACGTCATGATGTAGATCGACTCGCTGTCGCGCGCCTCGAGGACCGCCGGGTCGTTGGCTTCGGTGCTCGAAATCTTTGGCTCGCCGGCTTCAGCCCCCGTCACAGCTTCATGAACCATCTTGTGCCAGTCGATAAAGAGGAAGCGGATGCCCATGATGGTCACCTTGACGGCCGCGGCTATCGTCGTAGCCATCCACACGCCCGGAAGCCCAAGGCCCTTCATGATACCAAAGTAGTAGGCCAGTGGGAGCTGGACGCCCCAGAGTCCGACGACCGTCACGATCGTCACAAAGCCCATTTGGCCCATGCCTTCCAGCGCCGTGAGAAGCCCAAGCCCAAGTCCGTGCAAACTCGAAGCCGCAATGTACCACGGAAGGACGTCCGTGTACATGGCCAGCAGCACCTCGTCCTTCGTGAAGAGACCGACGACACCAGCGCGGCCAGCCCAGAGCACGATGCAGACAAGCAGAGCAGCAAGTGCAAGGACGGCAAAGCCCATCATGGCGCGGGCACGAGCGGCGCGGGGTCGACCTCCGCCAAGATGCTCGGCAAGACCAACCTCGGACGCGAGCCCGATGCCGTAGAAGATCGCACCGACCATCATCCAGACGCTGCTCAAGATGGCGTTGGTGGCAATGACGTTGGCGCCCATCTTGGCAACGACAAACGAAAGCGCTGCGGCCGCGAGCAAGTCACAGCCGTCGTTGAGCCCCAGAGGCAGCGCCATGCGGAAGAACGTCTTCCAGCGAGACCACGTCAACTCCGAGAGCTGCCAGCCGCCCCACGCGTCCTTGTGGTGCTTCTTGTAGACGAATGCATAGAGGAAGAGCGCGATCGGCTGGAACCACGCTGCAATGACAGTAGCAAGCGGTGATCCGTCAAAGCCAAGGCCCGCCGTGTAGATGAGGAGGTAGTTGGCTCCGACATCAATACCGATGCAGACGATGCCGTTGATGGTGGTGGGCATGACGACGCCCATGGCTTGGAGGTACTGACGCAGACAGACATACGCGAGGAGCGGCCAAATGCTTGGCGACAAGAGCTCGGCGAACCGCGCGCCAAAGGCGATGACAGCGGAATCGTCGGTCGTGTGGTGCAGAATACCGCCGAGGAAGAAGTACCACACGGTTGTCGGCACGGCCAAGACGGTGATCAAGATGAGCGCCATTTGCAGCCAGATGCCCATAAGGAAGTAGTTCTTGGCGCCGTACGCTTGGCCGCAGAGCTACATCAAGGCGAATTGAGGTGAATGATGATGTTGTGATACATTGATACCGCGATCTGAGCCGAGGCCATGCCCCAGACCGTGCAGAGCGGAAGCTCGATCCAGAGCGTCGCAAGGGACGCACCCGCGAGCTCGTTCGTACCGAGGTGTCCGAGGAAGGCGCTATCGATAACCATGATGGCGAGCCGTGCCATGCTCGTAATGACGAGCTGAAGGGACAAGCCCAGGAACGGCAGCAGCTCGGTGCGCAGATCAAAGACGTCGGCGATCTCGGTCGTCGTCATCGTCGAAGTGCAGAAAACGAAAACTGAGCAACCGAGGCTAAGCGTACCATGGTCGATTCAGTGTGGGACATGAGGCAGCGTCATCGCCCGGTGGTGTTGAAGGCAGATCGTTGTACAAGGGTTGTGGTGGACGATCGCGATCGCTCGATAGGATGATGCTCTTTTTGCTCGTTTGAGCTGGATTGCATACAAATACAGATAGAATATATTTAAATGGTACTTGTTAAGAAGCGCTTCGTCAGGCCGCCGCGGGAAGAGGACGAGCGCCATCGAACGCGTAGTCACAGAGTATCTTTGAGAGGGTGTCGTCGCCGCACTGGAGAGGCGTCGCGCGTACTCACGTCGGGAGCCAAGAGCTGGTGCGTCGGCGGCGTTGCGGTCGGGCTTGGACCAATAGCGGCTACAATGTCGTCGGTGCGAAGGGTGCACCTCTTGGTGGCGCTTCGGTGGTCGGTATCGTGAGGGACGTAAGAAACGTGTTGCTGGACGACCCGGGATGTTGCGTCCTGTCGACACCAGCGATTTGAGGGCGCGGTAGCCCGATGCATACGGTATACCCTCTTCTTGATATCAGAGTCGCCAAGTCAGAATCGCCGCTCTTAAATGAGCCGACCATGTCGGACGTCGCGGGGCGAGCATGCAACGAAGCTTGGCCCCTCGCAACAACGTGCCCACCACATACACCCGAAACTGATAGAGTGGGCTCCGCTGGCCAGTGGATTATACAAATGAGTTCTTAGGGACGCAAACACCGTAGAACTAAATCACCGTCGTGTGATGCGGTGCCTCGTTGATAGCTGGCGACGGCGCCGTGGTGTACATCGCGTCTCTGCCGTGCGCCTCGAGGACCATAGGGTCGTCCGTCTCGGTGCCCGAGAGCTTTGGCTCGCCTGCTTCGGCCACCAACATGGCTTGGTCGACCATTTTCTGCCAATCAACGCGGAGGAACCGGACGCACATGACGACAAACTTGAAGCCCACCGCGATCGTCATGGCGGCCCAGACGCCCCAGAGCCCGAGACCCTTGACAATGCCAA